CAAATTACATTTTGTTTTCACTAATCAAACTTCAAAAAAATAATTTTGTAAAACTGCTTTTAGCAGATTTGCATCTATGGGCTTAAAAATTAAACAAAACTGATCTGCCCAGGCATAGGGGCTCATGCCTATAATCCCAGGGCTTTGGCCAAGGTAGGTGGATCACCTTAGGCAGGAATTCGAGACCAGCCTGGCCATCATAGTGAAATGTCATCTCTACTAAAAATACAAAAATTAACTGGGTACATGTGATGGTGCATGCCTGTAATCCCAGCTATTCGGAAGACTGAACCACAAGAATTGCTTAAACCCAGGAGGCGGAGGCTGCAGTGAGCCCAGATGGGCAACAGAGTAAGATTCCATCTCAAAAAAGAAAACAATTTAAATGACTGCTATATAAATATTGAAAACAATGGCTCTTTTATGACTTGCCTTAAATTCATTTTATAAAACATGTAACTAGTCTGGCAGAACTGAAGATGGCCAAATAGGAACAGCCCTGGAATAGAGTTCCCAGCGAGAACAACACAGAGGGTGAGTGATCACCGCATTTCCAAATGAGTTTTTACTGCCCACAAGCCAGGAGATTCTGGGGCTGAAAAGCATCACAAATTTCCAGCATGGCTGTTTCAGCCAGCACAGCAGGTCTCCACACAAAAACTCACACAAATCTGGGCAGCCATTTCAACTGATGCCTAGAATGCCTGGGAGACAGAGCCACCCATTCAACTGAAAAACAAGGGGGCTGAAACAGGGAGCCAGGCGATCTGGTTCAGCAGGTCCTACCCCCACAAAGAGCAGCAATCTGAAAAGCTCTGGATTGAGAGTTTTGCAGCAGTGCAGCTGGACCCGGGATGGTCCACCCCTGTGTGGGGAAAGGTGTCCTCCATTACCAAGGCAGTCCACCACTACTGAGGCAGTCTGCCATTACCAATGCAGTCCGCCATTACTGCAGGAGTCTGTCATTACCGAGGCAATCCACCAATACTGAGGCAGTCTGCCATTACCAAGGCAGATCACCATTACTGAGGCAGTTCTAACTATACCTCTGTAAAAAAAAAAAACCCAAGGAAGTTCACACAGCGGCTGGGCAGAGCCCACGGCAGCTCAGCAACACCTCTGCTGGCAGACTGTCACTAGGCTACCTCCTTGCTGAGCAGGGCATCTCTGAAAAAAGGCAGCAGCATGTCAGGAACTTTTAAAGCCCCACCTTCCCAGGCCTGAGTACCTGGGGAAAAAAAAGGTGGTTATGAGTTCCGCTGGAACAGATTTAAATGAATCTGCCAAGCAGCTCTGAATGGATCAACAGAGCTCCCAGCTCAGCACTTGATTTCCTATAAGGGACAGACTGTCTCCTCAAGCAGCTCCCTGCCTCCCATATACTCAAAGAAAAACCTCATAAAGGAGAGCTCAGGTTGACATATGGCAGGTACCCCTCTGGGACAAAAATAACAGAAGAAACTGGCAGCAATCCTTACTGTTCTGCAGCTGCTGCAGGTGATCCCCAGGCAAGCAGGGTCTGGAGTGGACCTCCAGCAGTCCTATAGCAGAGGGGCCCGACTGTTAGAAGGAAAACTAAAAAACAGAAAGAAATAACTTCAACATCAAAAAAAAGACATCCACTCAGAAACCCCATCTGAAAGTCACCAACTACAAAGACCACAGGTAGATAAATCCATGAAGATGAGAAGAGACCAGCACAAAAAGGTTGAAAACACCCAAAACCAGAAGGCCTCTCCTCCTCCAAGGGATCACAGCTCCTTACCAGCAAGAGAAGAAAGCTGGATGGAGAATGAGTCTGATGAATTGACAGAAACAGGCTTCAGAAGGTGGGTAATAACAAAATTCTCTGAGCTAAAGGAACATGTTCTAACCAAATGCAAAGAACTAAGAACCTTGAAAAAAGTTTGATGAAATGCTAATATGAATAAACAGCTTAGAGAAGAGTAGAAATGACTTAATGGAGCTGAAAAACACAAGAAGAGAACTTTGCGATGCATGCACAAGTTTCAATAGCCAAATCCACCAAACAGAAGAAAGGATACAGAGATTGAAGATCAACTCAATGAAATAAAATGAGAAGGCAAGACTAGAGAAAGAAGAATGAAAAGAAATGAACAAAGCCTCCAAGAAATATGGGATTATGTCAAAAGACCTAATCTACATTTGATAGGTGTACCTGAATGTGACAGAGAGAATGAATCCAAGCTGGAAAACATTCTTCAGGATGTTATCCAGGAGAACTTCCCCAACCTAGCAAGGCAGGCCAATATTCAAGTCCAGGAAGTACAGAGAACATCACAAAGATATTCTTCAAGAAGAGCTACCGCAAGGCACATAATCGTCAGATTCACCAGGGTTGAAATGAAGGAAAAAATGCTAAGGGTAGCCAGAGAGAAAGCTCGGGTTACTCACAAAGGGAAGCCCATCAGACTCACAGCAGATCTCTCAGCAGAAACCCAACAAGCCAGAAGAGAGTGGGGGCCAATATTCAACATCCTTAAAGAAAAGAACTTTCAACCTAGAATTTCAAAGTATTATAAATCCTTCTATTGTAAAGACACATGCACACGTATGTTCGTTGCAGCACTGTTTACAATAGCAAAGACCTGGAACCAACCCAAATGCCCATTGATGATAGACTGGACAAGGAAAATGTGGCACATACACACCACAGAATACTATGCAGCCATAAAAAACAATTAGTTTGTGTCCTTTGTAGGGTCATGGATAAATCTGGAAACATCATTCTCAGCAAACTGACCCAAGAACAGAAAATCAAACACTGCATGCTCTCACTCATAGGCAGGTGTTGAACAATGAGAAGACATGGACACAGGGAGGGGAGCATCACATACTGAGGTCTGTTGAGGGGGGAATAGGAGAGGGACAGCTGGGGGTAAGAAGGTTGGGTAGGGATAACATGGGGAGAAATGCCAGATATAGGTGACGGGGGATGGAGGCAGCAAAGCACATTGCCATGTATTTACCTATGCAACAGTCTTTCATGTTCTGCATGTACCCCAGAACCTAAAGTGCAATAAAATATGTATATATATATATATATATATATATATATATATATATAATGAAAAAAAGAAAAGTATGTAACTAAAAAACATTTTCCTGAATTATATTCTGGTGGATATAAAAAGATTAATGGCATTACTAAATACACTAGATGAAAGAGAACATGCATTTAGTACCTTAACTTTGTGGCCAGAGAGACAGTGAACCATCCAGTAGTGGGAGAAATTATTATTCCAGATCTACAAGGTCAAGCTTCTCAAATTTTACTCCCCAAAATTTGAATAATCATAACATTTGACAATGTTTAACTAAAACTTTAGATCTATGCTAGTATTTCACAAATTAATTATATCATGGTGATATTTGGATTTAGCCTTGGCTTTGAGATAAAAATAATATTGATCTTATTACTCCATCATTTGGCAAAAAATCACATTAGGGTACATCTCTAAAAATCAAATCAACAGAGTTTGACTAGGTTGTTTTCATACCTTATATAAGCATAAATGCCCTGTTCTCTTCTTAAAATCAAATAATTATTCGAGACTACCAGATTCTTACACTTTCTCTGTGAAGTAGCCCAGCAGTTCTACTGTCAGTGTTCTTTCTTTTGTTATAATCATTCATGTATGTTTCTCATCTTTCCTACTAATTTGAAAGTGATTCATAGAAAGAATATTTGTTTTCGTCTTTTTTCCACCCCTAAAAGGAATCGTGAACCAGTGACCTGTATGGCAAATTCAATCTGTAAATACATTTGGTTTGGTTGACATGTGTTTGTGTGTCTGTGTCTCTGTGTGTATGTATGTTTCCCATGCAATTTTTAAGTATATTCACATATTGTACAAACTATCACCACAATCTAACTTTAGATCAATTTCATCACCTCCCCAAAAAAACTCATACCCATTAACATTCCCTACTCCTCTCCCAAAGCCCTAGGCAACCACTAATCCACTTTCTGTGTCTATAGATTTAACCGTTTAATGTAATGGAATTCCACCATATGGATTAATCTGTTACGGACTTTTGTCACTTAGTGTCATGTTTTCAAGGTCTACCCATGTTGTGTCATAGATTAGTACCTCATTCCTTTATATTGCAAAATAATATTCCACTTATTGATAGACCACATTTTACTTACCATTTCATCAGTTACTGAACATTTGTTTCTATTTTTTGGCTACTATAAATAATTCTGCTATGAACATCTTTGTGCCAATTCTTGTGTGGACATATGTTTTCATTTCTCTTAGGTATATACCTAACAGTGGAGCAGCTGGGTTACATGGTAAGATAGATCATGTTTAACTTTTTGAGAAAATGCTAGACTGTTTTACAAAGTGATCTTATCATTTTTACTTTCACAGGAGCAGTGTATAAGTGTTACAATTTCTCAGAATCTTGGCAAATATTTATTTCTGAGTTATTTATTTTAGGTATCCTGGTGGTTCGAATGGTATCCCATTGTGGTTTTAATTCTCGTGTCCCTAGTGATTAAATAATAGGCCTTATTGTTAAGATGCTTATTAATGTTCAAGCGATTCTTGTGCCTCAGCCTCCTGAGTAGCTGGGATTACAGGCATGCGCCACCACACCTGGCTAATTTTTGCATTTTTCATACAGGCGGGGTTTCACCATGTTGGCCAAGTTGGTCTCAAACTCCTGACCTTAAGTGATCCACCCACTTCGGCCTCCCAAAGTGCTGGGATTACAAGTGTGAGCCACCTCAGCTGGCTGGATTGCTTGTCTTTTTAATACTGAGTTTCAGGGCTGGGAGTGGTGGCTTAAACCTGTAATCTCAGCACTTCAGGAGGCCGTGGCAAGAGGATTGCTTAAGGCCAAGAGTTGGAGACCAACCTGGGTAACTTAGTGAGACCAGATCTCCACAAAATAAAAAATAAAAATAAAAAAAATAAAAATAAAAAATTAAATAGCCAGGTGGGGAATTGTGTTCGCAGCCGCCGCCGCGCCACCGTCGCTCTCCAACGCCAGCGCCGCCTCTCGCTCGCCGAGCTCCAGCCGAAGGAGAAGGGGGTAAGTAAGGAGGTCTCTATACCATGGCTCGTACAAAGCAGACTGCCCGCAAATCTACCGGTGGTAAAGCACCCAGGAAGCAACTGGCTACAAAAGCCGCTAGCAAGAGTGCGCCCTCTACTGGAGGGGTGAAGAAGCCTCACCGTTACAGGCCTGGTACTGTGGCACTCCGTGAAATTAGACATTATCAGAAGTCCACTGAACTTCTGATTCGCAAACTTCCCTTCCAGCGTCTGGTGCGAGAAATTGCTCAGGACTTTAAAACAGATCTGCGCTTCCAGAGCGCAGCTATCGGTGCTTTGCAGGAGGCAAGTGAGGCCTAGCTGGTTGGCCTTTTTGAAGACACCAACCTTTGTGCTATCCATGCCAAACGTATAACAATTATGCCAAAAGACATCCAGCTAGCAAGCCGCATACGTGGAGAGCGTGCTTAAGA